AGCTGTTTGTATGAGACTTGCATGTTATGTGATAGGTTAATTTATTTTATCTATTTGTATGTGACTTGCATGTTATCTGGTAGGTTAGTTTATTTTAACTGTTTTTATCTTTATCTGTTCCTATTTGGAAGCCCCTTTTATAACCATCTGTGTACACTTTCTCTTCTATAACTAATGTTGTATAATTTCTTCTCACAAATTAATGTTTTCATTAACTCTCCCTATATTGTGAGTCTTGTATAAATCTATTGTTAGTACTTATTCATTTTACAATTTTACGTGCACTTAGGTTAGTTTGAATATTACATTTTGCTTACTCACGTGCATGACGTGTGAGTAAACGTATACACGGCTCAGACAGAAAACTTTCCCTTTCAATCAAAACCAGTGACGCTGCTTTCTTTCTTCACGCCAGCCACTTTATTTCTTCTTCCACAGCCCCTTTCTCTAGATCCGACCCTTCTTTCTCTCCTTGACCCTCTCTCTCTCCAAGCCACCGAAGCCTCTTTTTCTCTGATTTGAAGCAATGTTTATGTAACAGATCGAGATCATTTATCCAAATCCTAACCCTCTATCTCTCATTCAAAGCCCCCATTATCCAAGCCCTAACCCCTTCCTCCCAGGAAAGTTTTGCGTCAAACCGAAACCCTAATTTTTTGTGTCTGCATGAATAAATTTTGAGGTTTCTATCTTTATGCTCCGTAAATTCTTATCTTCATTCACCGAGACAGCATTTTTTGATATTTTATTAAAATTGGAGGTTTTTGTTCTTCGCTACTAGATTGCCTATACCATACGATTTGAAAGGAAAGACAAAGTTATAGTATTTTTGGTGACTTGCTGCAAAGAGAGCAGGAATGGAATTCATGGTTTGTTCTCTAGCGGTTGATAAGATGTAACTCTGTTGATTGAGAGCAAATTTTAGTTCTATAAACGGTCTAATAGGTAAGTGAAGCCTAATTTATCTCTTTTCAATATTATTTCCTCTCGATTCTTTTTTTACAGACACTCGCACACATTGACACACACACATTCGCACACAGACATATATGTATATTTATGCGGGTAAATATATTAAACTAAAAGTTTCGTCTCTCTGTTTCATTAAAGGGAAAGTGTTGTTGGTGTTTACAGGTCCAATTAGTGAGAATCTCACGACATTTTTCTGAAAGATATCACGCTGGCATGTCATGTGATAGGTTAATTTATTTTAGTTATTTGTATGAGGCTTACATATTATGTGATATGTTAATTTATTTTACCCGTTTGTATGAGGTTTGCATGTTATCTGATTTGTTAGTTTATTGTAGCGTATTTTTTGATAGATTATCGTAATTGGAGATTTCTATTCTTCACTACTGTATTGTTCATACCATACGATTTGTATTGAGTTTTTGGTGACTTGCTGCAAAGAGACCCGGAATGGAATTCATGGTTTGTTCTCTAGGTTTGATGAGATGTAACTGTATTGATTGAGAGCAAAATTTAGTTCTATAAAGGGTCTGATAGGTAAGCAAAGGCTAATTTTTCTCTGTTCAATATTCTTTCCTCTTGATTCCTTTTTCACAAACACTCGTACACACTGACACACACACATTCGCACACACACATATGTAAATTTATGCGGGTAAATATATTGAACTGAAAGTTTCGTCTCTCTGTTTCATTGAAGGGAAAGTGTTGTTGGTGTTTATTGGTTCAATTAGTGAGAATCTCACGATATTTTTCTGAAAGATATCAGGCTTGCATGTTATGTGATAGGCTAATTTATTTTAGCTGTTTGTATGAGGCTCGCATGTTATAGTGGCTTTCCTTGATGAGGGCCTTCAAGTTGTTGGAGGCACCACACATTAATTAAGCGAGTATTCCAAAGCTTGTGATTCTCCCCTCTTGTCCAAAAGGAGCTCGCTAGGTCTCTCGTTCTTACTGTTGAGAAGGACTTAGAGGAGGCCGCTACAGTTGCCGCTATTTCTCCACTTTTACAAGATCCGGTTGGTGGTGCCTTGGTGCTCTCGGAAGAGGACAAATGTGTACATGGGGCCAACAACTCTTGATCTTTCATAACAGGCCTCTTTCCTCACTAGGAAGAGGTCATTTGGTAGCGAAATACCATTGGATTTTGAATTTTCATTGTAACTGTATTTTTTATCACTCTACAGACGGTCCCTACGCCAGTAGGCATCTCCTGGCTCAAAATCAAGATGCAACTCTACTTGCCAAAGTGAATACATGGCAGGCCAAAGTTTATTTCAAAGTCATTGTACTAGTTGGTGGTTGAAAGGATTTTGCTACAGAGAACATCTTAGAAGAATTTGATGTGTGTGTGAGTGTGTGTTTTAAGCTTGCCAGTGGAACAAACGACACCGTTGTCTTGGATGTTAGCATCTTTTGAGTTGTTGAAGACGTAATTCTACCAACGATATTGACCTCTGCTTCCTCAAGGCATGGAATGCCATCAAAGTACCGCAGCTGAAAATCATAAGCCACGGTCACTAGTGCATGAGTTGCCAATTTCTATGCTTTGCTCTTTAAGTACTTAATTATGAAATATTGTTTACTGGACTTTATTTTGTATGGTTGTATTCTACATTTTGACTAGTGCACATGTTAAAGTAGGGTTTTTTTTTTTTTTTTTTTTTTAAAGTTAAAAAAAAAAAAACACACTCACTTGCTCCAATATGAACTCAACCTTCCACCTTATATTTATGTAAAAGGCAAGAAAATACCATTAGGCGACTGTTAAAGTAGTATGACTAATGTTAGTTTTGTTACGTTTTGTTAAATGTTAACACTTCGCAAAAATGTTTTACACAGTGCAAAATTAACAAATGCCACTCATAAGCTTAGTTTGATGGTTGGATTATAACAATGAAAAAAATTATCAAAATTATATTGGTAAATTCAAATGTTTTGCGTTTGATTCTAAAAAAAATAAACACCGGAACATAACCAATTCAAAGATCACCAAATTGGAACGATTGATGGTTAAAACATGTATATTTTGGAATTATACTTTTTAACCATGTTAATGCAATAACCGGTGCATTCTGTAGGTGTAGTCAAAACTGGTGCCTGGTGGGGGATATCGGAGGCTTGTGATAGCTTGGACTTTCCCATCATTTTTAGAATGAAAATGAGACTATCATACTAGCCAGATTTCCACGTAGTGGAGTTAAAACACTCTCCGGTAACTTTTATTTTGCAATACACCAGAAAAAATTGGGATCAAACCAACAATAGTGCACCTCTATGAATAGTGACACATCTTGAAATTATTTGGAGATGCATATCTTAAATTAAACTAAACGATGTCATTTCGCTTTGTCTCCACTTTTAACCCATTTACTCAAGTTTTAGCCTTTATGTTCATCTCTTTAACCCACTTTGCAAAACACTCAAGCAAGACCTAGTACCCTAAATTCCATCCGAGTTCATGAAAATGAAAATTTTCAAATAATTATAACAGTATTGAATTTTATTGTGTCTGACCATGGTGTCAAAAGAAGTATGTAATTGTCTAATTCTTCTCTGTTTAATTGTGCCTGACCATGGGTTTTATTTATTTATTTTCTTCTTTGTTTCTTTCTTGGTAAAAGAAACATGTTCTCTTTGATTGAATTCTCTCTCTTGAGAGAGAGAAAATAAATATTTTTTTTTTCCTAAAATTTTAATTGTGATGCGTATCAAGAAAAAACTTGTGGCAATTAAACCTAAAAGCACAAAATCAAAATTGTGCCAATCAATCAACTAAAGTGTAATTTAAAGTCAATTGTTTTTTTCAAAATAAATTAAGTAAATGTTCACACACCCATAATACAATTTCTAAAAAAATTATACAATTAATGACTCATCATTTCCAACTATATAATGATTGAAGTGGATATCTAAGTGGACTAGTAAATACAACATTTCAACTCAAACACAAATTTTTATTTTTGGTTTTTCAAAGCCTGTGTACTTAGGAGCTGGTGTTTGGAAGGATTGTTGAAGTCTTCTCTGTTTAATTGTGCCTGACCATGGGTTTTATTTATTTATTCTTTGTAAAAGAAGCATGTGCTCTTATTTACCGAGTAAAAAAAAAGCACGTGCTCTTTGACTGAATTCTCACAAGAGAGAAAAATAAGATTTTTCTTTTTTCTACAATTTTAATTTTGGAACATTGCCCTATTTGAAAGGGCCAATCATTTGTGAAGTGTATGAAGAAAAAACTTGTGCCAAATAAACCTAAAGAGCACAAAATCAAAATTGTGCCAATTATTATATTTCGCTTAGATAATCTATCAACTAAAGTGTAATTTAAAGTTGTTGTTTTTTTCTTTCCTCCTCAACTATACAATTGATAATTTGATTGAACACGTAAATACAATATTTTAACTCAAACACAATTTTATTTTTTATTTTTTATTGTTGTTTTGTTTTTGTTTTTGTTTTTGGTTTCCCTGACAGGTGTTAGAAGGATTGAAATCCAACAATATAATTTAGAACAAAGATTGCACGAAGATTTTCAATATAAAAAATAATAATAAAGAATTGAACATTTAGAGTTCATGAAAATGATGGTAATTGAAATGTCTATTGTTAAGGAAATCTATCTTCATGGCATGCATCATCTGATTTATAATGAAGAAAAACCATTGAAAGATTTGAGGTTTTGTGGCTGATGCCTATTCGTCTTGTAAATTTATTTTAGGGTAAAATGCAAAAATTCCCCTTGAACTATGGGGGTATTGCAATAAATTCCCTGAACTACAAAAAAAAAAAAAAACCCTAGACTATGAATTTGTTGCACTTAGTCATTGGGTAAAGATTCCGGAAAAGCCAAAAGACTGAAGTACCCTTATTTAAACGATGCAGTTTAAGGAAAATCAAAGCTTCAGTTAATGAGGTGGAAAGGGCAATATGAAGGACCAATGAAAAGTGGACAACTCAGCAATTATGATAAGGTATGATATCTATATTCCCTCCACCACACAATTGATGGTAGCCATTCGAGCCAGTTTCTGTCTTCATCAGTATCTACCAGTTGCAGAGGTCTGCAACTTGTTGAAACCATAATCGCCTCTCCTGCTACAAGGTGATGAAAACCCTAAAACCTCTCTTGCTACCAGTCTGGAACCATTGATCAGTAACTCTCTTACCCTAAATAATTGATTAAAACAATTTATGATATCAATTTGTAGATTACTTTACCTGATTTATTTATTGCTTTCAACGATTGTTGTTGTTTTCTTGTTTTGCACAAAGCATACACTGGTTTTCAAAAGATACGAGTCAAATGATGATGTTGATGTAGTTTTTGCAAGCATTTTTCTGCCTTTACGTTGGTTCTTTTCTGCTTTTGTGTTACTTATTTTTTGTGCCTTTTTATGTTGAAAGCTCCAAGGTAAAAAAACTGACATATTGTCGAATGTTGTCGATGTATAAACCCCATATATGGTGTTTTATGTTATATTTTTATTCCTTTTGTCAAATGTTGTCTCCATCAATAAACTTGGTGTGCATCAAACACTGTAAAATTGTTCCTATTATTGGTGGTCCCTCTATGGTAGTCAAATGTTTTTCTATGTTCTTTAGTGGTTGAGTGGTCCTTATGTATATTTTTTGTCTTTCTGTTATTTATTTTCATACACTTTAATGATTGAATGTATTTGTCTATGTATAAACCCTATATATGGTGTTTTTTTTTTTTTTTTGGTCAAATGTTGTCTCCGTCAGTAAACTTCGTGCTCATCAAATACTGTAAAATTATTCCTAACATTGGTGGTCCCTCTATGGTACTCAAATGTATTTCTATGTTCTGTTATTTTTTTTTTCATACACTTTAATGAGTGAATTGATGGTGTTGTGTTGACTTAATTATTGTATTATTTTTTTTACACTTGTTGACTATAATTTACTGAGTCAAAAATTACAATTTATTACTTATAGAATTGATGGTATGTACACTTGTTGATTGAGCCCACTTGTTGTTTATTAATTTCTGTTGTTGTAGATGGTTGGTCTGTACACCATTGAATTGCATCATGGGGGTATTTTTGAGAAATCACCCCCTGTGACATACCTAAGAGGAAATACCTCTAACTTTGATAATGTTGACCCTGACTTGATGTCATTAATTGAGATTCAAGGGATGGCAACTCAGTTGGGATATAGGAAGGTTAGTGAAATGTTCTACAAAGTAGCTTATGAGTGGCAAAGCTATAGAGAAGTTAAGTATGAGTTGGATGTATTTAGAATGTTTTATGACCATGAAGCCCATAGGGAAACCAACATAGTTAAGTTGTACATTGTTGCACCTTTGTTGAATGATGTAGTAAATGAGGAAGGAGTAGGTGGTGATGTAGGTTAGGATGTAGGATGGAATGAATCAGAACCTATTGCTCATGTGTCAAGCCCATATAGTCCTAATGATGAGTTGATAAGCTTGAATAAATCTGATGATGAAGTTCTTAATAGTGGTTCTATGTACCAAGAATACATTCTTTCAAGGGATTTGGGAGAAAAGGAACTAGAACTAGGTATGAAATTTGGCTCTGCAAAAGATTTTAGGTTGGCAATTAGAGAGAAGTCATTGAGGGGTAAATTTGATATAAAGTTCACAAAGAATGATAGCGATAGGGTAAGTGCAGTATGCAAGGCTAAATGTGGTTGGAGAATATATGCAAGCAAACCAGAAGATGAGGATTGCTTGATAGTTAAGACATATGTGCCAGACTATATAAACTGCCTTTGGTTTCGTAGTAATGCACAAGCCTCATCTTCCTTCATTGCAAATAGATACTTAGAACAATTGAGATTGAACCCAAAGATGCCTTTGAATACACTTAAGACCACTATTGCTTCTGATTTGGACATTGATTTGTCCATACACAAAGTGTATAGGGCTAAGAGGAAGGCTTTAGAAATGATTGAAGGAAATGAACAAGAGCAGTATGAAAAAATGAGAGATTACTACAGTTTGATCTTAAGAACTAACCCTGGCAGCATTGTTAAATTACAAACTGAGCCCACTGGTGTTGAGAATGTGAGAAGGTTTCAGAGAGTATTTATTTGTTATGTTGCAATGAAGATGGTTTTAAAAAAGGTAGTAGACCACTTATTGGTGTGGATGGTTGCTTTTTAAAAGGATTATATGGTGGTCACCTTTTGAGTGTAGTGGCCAATGATGGAAATGGGCAAATGTTCTTCGTAGCAATTGCAGTAGTGGAGTCTGAGACAAAAGATTCTTAGGAATGGTTCATGGGAGAATTGATGGATACTGTAGGACCTTATTATGGTATAACCTTCATATCAGATAGACAGAAGGTACAATTTCAACTTAATTTAATTACGTTTCATTGAATATTTGTTTGAATTTAATTATTTAGTCTGTTTTAATCTTATATTTTTACACTGATTTATACTTAATTTGTCTCATATACAGGGTTCAGTAGAAACCTTTGACAACATAATGGAAGGCTCAGACCGCAGATTCTGTGTAAGGCATTTATATGAGAATTTCAAGCTCAAGCTCGAGTTTAAAGGACAACAACTGAAAATAGAGTTATGGGAAGCATCAAGGTCATATACTGCAGCAGATTTTGAACTACATATAAGGAAAATAAGCGAGTTAAATGTGGAAGCTTATAAGTGGTTGAGGAAAGTGCCAGCTGAATTGTGGTCAAGGTTAGCCTTTACAGAAAGGTCAAAAAATGAAGTAGTCATCAACAACATGTGTGAAAGTTGGAATGCAGTTATTCTTGAAGCAAGGGATAAGCTAATAATATACATGCTAGAATGGATTAGGAGGCATCTAATGCTAAGGTTCCAATGCAAAAAAGAGTGGATGCTATCACAACAAAGCTTGCTATGTCCAGAAATACAAAAGAGTCTCAACAAAGTGAAACAACAAGCTAGAATGTGTAAGGTGCATTATGTTGGTCATGAGAAGTATGAGGTTCAATGCTATGGAATAAGTGAGGCAGTTGACCTTGACAAGAAAAGTTACAGCTCTAGGGTATAGAATTTGATTGGAATCCCTTGCAGGCATGCTATAACATGCATATTTACCAAGAGGGACTCTCTTGAGGCATACGTTGACCCATACTATCATATAGAAACCTATCTCAAGTCCTATGCTGGCATAATCCTACTTATACCAATGGGATGGTTGATGAAAACAGACCCCATTGATGGATTACTTCCACCACACTATAGGAAACCCATAGGTTAACCAAAGATAGCTAGGAATAAAAAGAATGATGAACCAAAGGGTACCAAGCGTAGCAGGTCAAAGGAACGTTTGAAGTGTTCAAGGTGTAAGGAGGGTGACCAAAACTTAAGGACCTGCAAAGCACCTGAGCCATTGGTGATTGAGAGGCCTCCTCCAAGAAGGGTAGGTAGACCACCCATTCTTGGAGGGGGAAGAACAAAGGGACCTGAGGGCATGGCAGTCAAAGGAAGAGGAAGAAGGGGTGGAAGAGGGAGAGTAAAAGGAGTTGAAGTTCCAGCTCCAGTACCTTCAAATCAAGAGGTACTTTTAATGTAATGTTTATCATAATTTTCATGTTATGTGTACCTTAAACTAAGCTAACTTGTTGCTACTTATTTTAGATTCTAAACATACCATTTACACAGCTATCACAAACTCAGGCATCATCTTCTTCTAGGTATGATGAAAACAGTCCCCTATGTTTTCTGTATATTTGTATGACTTCTTACAAATCACAACAATTTGGTTGGTTCATTGATAGGTCAATGATGGACAGTGAGTATACTTGCTGGTAGTGAAGATAGCCATTAATTGTAGCATTTGTTGGTTTTTGTTAGAGGATGGCCACTTATATCTATGTTGTTATGCTGTCAATGATGTCAATGTTTTTTGTCACTCCAACTTGCTATCAATGCTTTTTTTCACTCCAAGTACCTGTCAAGGCTTTTTGTCACTCTAAGTTGCTGTCAAGGCTTTTTGTCACTTCAAGTTGTTGTTGGAGGTTGATTTGCTGCTGTTATGGCTTTTTGTCACTCCAAGTTGCTGTCAATGCTTTTTCTCACTCCAAGTTGCTGTCAAGGCTTTTTATCACTCCAAGTTATTGTTGGAGGTTGTTTTGCTACTATTTTGGCTTATGTTTACTTTTGGTGATTGTAAATGTTAACTTGAAAACTACTTGTGTTCATGGGATAGGAAAACTTTGGTTCTATTTCCATGAATTTTATTAAGCATTGTTGATGTTGGTTATGTTCAGAATATTTATGTTAAGTAATATTAAGTGCTATGCTATGGTTATTTAGAATGAGACAGGTCATTATAATTTATGAGTCACAAAGTGCTATGCTATGTTTGAACATGTCATAAGACAGGTCACTAAACAGGTCATGACACAGGTCATGCGACAGACAAAGTGTTAGTGAAAGAGTGCAGTGTAGTTTTATTGAACATGTCATTAAATCGAGTATTGAACAAGTTTGGTTCACTGCAATTGTAGTTTGATGGTGCTCAGTCATTTGGTGTTCAAGCCCCATTGCAGTGTAGTTTGATGGTGCTCACATTTGGTGTTCAGGCCCAATTGCAGTGTAGTTTGATGGTGCTCATTTATTTGGTGTTCAGGCCCCATTGCAGTGTAGTTTGATGGTGTTCAACATACTTCTGTTTTACTACAGGGTATCAATATAAGTCTAATGCAGTGTACCGATGAGTAATGTTTGGTGTCAATTCTTTGTTGCATTCAATTGTCATAACTGCCTTAAACAAAACACGACTTCAAAATCAGAATCCACAACACATTATAATAACAATTTCACTACAATTATGCACTTCATATTTCATTAATCAACAACACTATTACAAAATAGAGCTTGGTTTCATCATCCCACATGCCATACAACCAAAACCTCCATTACATCATACAACCCCCCAAATCTCCATAACAACATACAACAATCCAATTACTCCAAAATTACATTACATTCACTTAAGAATAATAGTAAGAAGTAATATAAAAATAGAGAACCCAAACAAAATCATGCTTCCAACAACCATAGCAGTTGCAAATGACATAATAGAATTGAGTGCTATTGGAGGAGTTTCATTATGTAGAGGGCTAGCTCCATGGTGCCCATGAGGGACAAAAGGAACATCTTGAGGAGCTCAAATTATGTTTGAAGGTGGACTCCCCCATTCAAAAAATTTGCAAACCTTTTTACTACACTTGAAATATAGCCTCCCAGGATTATACACATAATCAGAAATGAATACAAACGCTTTTTGGCCACACCAACACCTTTTTTTCATCATTCTAAACCTACCACTTTCCATTATACAAACCATCCACAAATTATTACCTGAGACAAAAATTAATAAGAGAAATATATGTACAATACCTATAAAATTAGGGTTAAACTCCTCTATGTGTGTGTGTGTGCATATATATATATATATATATATACACACACAAAGAAAACAGATCCAATAGGAGATAGATTATTACCTTTTACGGTTTTATTCCATTAAGAACGACAGTAACAGAGAGGAATAGATCACGACAAATAGAGAGAATGATGAATCAAAACGTGAACCCTATGGCGCGAGAGAGGAGATACCACCACAAACAGGTATTGATAGGGATTGAGAGCTATGATAAATCGATTTAGGGGTTGTCTGAAAATTGGGTTAGGGTTCCAACAGTTGGTATGTATACGGGGTGTATGTATATATAAGGTGCGACTGTATATATAAGGCAGTGTTTCCCTACAACGGTCACAAATAGGGGCAAATTGGTCTTTTAAGGTTCGTAAGGGCAATATTGTCCACCAAAATTAATTTCTATGTCACGTGACACACACATGCTCAACTTACGGTAATTTTGGCCGAATTAATGCCGGAGGGGGCAATCTGCAACAAAATTGACAAGTTCAGGGGGTATCTTGCATATTTTATACTTCAAGGGGTTTATTGCATGTTTGGCAATAGTTCAAGGGTTTTTTACATTTTATCCTTTATTTTATTCTTCTTTGAATGAGAATTGGATTACTGACGGAGTATACAATTTATTGACTTTATTATATCTTTTAAATAAATTTGAAATATAACCATCCTCAATTTTCGCTTGAAGGATCAATGCATTTGGGCTCCGTCTTTGTCCCAACTAACCCGAATTATAGTCTGCACAACCTAGTCCGAATCCAACCTGGCTTTGGGTCAATTTTAACAACCCGAGCATTCCGGGTTGAATGGCCTCCCCTGATTTTTTTTTTTCCCTAACTCAATATTGTGGTCCAGCTATAGCACCCTTTTTTTTTCTTTTTTATGGTAAACAAAATAATAATAATAATAATAATAATAATAATAATAATAATAAAAAGAATAAAATTTTATTCAAACGATTGTGCCTTATTAATTCATCATCCATTATAATAAATTTACAAAGAAAAAAAATTTAAAAACAAAAATATGAGAAGAAAGAGTGTGAACCACATCATAATTTCGGGTTAATTTGGCAACCTTAATCTGAACACTTGCTGGTCGTCCGTTGATCCATTTTGTTTTCTAGAAAAACCAAAAAATAATCAAAAAAAATAAATTAATCCTCGAGAACAACTACTTGATCGATCCTTCCCAAAACCTGGCATGCCGGATTGAATTCTCATTGTCATTCCCAATGAAAGGGTTGTCACATGAAGGTTTATCCTTTCACTATGAGGGAATCGAGAAAAACTGAAACCTCTTGGCTCAGAACCACTTTATCAACTCAATAATACTTAATATCAACCGTTCCATTCCTCCATCTAACGTTTGTCAATAATCCTAGAGTAGATCCCCTCTCCTCTATGTGGTAAACCCTTGCTGGGCAGTAGCTCTTCCTCCTCTCTCTCTTAAACAAGAAAAAGACTTGAGACCTTTACAAATATATCCGAGCTTCAATCGCATTTAGCAAAAGTTTTGGGTTTCAAATACACAATTTCAAACACATTGACACTCGAACCAAAAAAACCACCCACACAACGATGATAAATGATGGCAATAGGTTGGTGGCGATAGCGAAAAATCTCTTCGTAACTATCCTTTTTGGTTTTGAGATGTATATATATATAGCACTGGCATCTCTCTCATTCAATAGATTTCTTTTTTGATTATATATAGTTTCCATCTTATTTTTGAGATTTTTGTAATAACTTCTTGTGAAGATGAAAGTTTCACATATTAGTTTTTAAGATTCTCTGTTTTCCATTTTAATAGATTTAGATTAAAAGTTTTAATCGTCTTGATTTTAAAATGAGTGACATGAAATGTCAGTAATATGTAGGTATTTTCCAAATGTTAATTAAAGAGCTAGCACACTACTAGCTCCTGATTCAGCAACATGGCTCCAACGCTTATGGTTGTGTAACGACCCGAACCCGTGAGTCCGAACCGTTAACTAGGTCCATACCCGAACCCAATGTCCGTCCATAACCATCAAACGAGTCAATCCATTGTCCAAAATACTCTAAGACAGAACCTTACAAAGAAGGTCAAATGTGCAAGTCAGTGAGGAAGGGTCGGCCGGTTGATAGCTCTTGGTCGGCCGGCTGACAGGGCAGGATTGGTCGGCCGGTTGAAACGATTGTCAAAAATGAATGCTCTCGGGACTTTACTACAGTAAGAGCATCGGTCGGCTGAACGTGGGATTTCGGTCGGCTGATGGTGAGGTTCAGCCAGCCGAAACAAGGCCATTCACCATGGAACTCTCTGGAATGACCCCGGATGGCTCTGTCCGTCGACTAATTCTCCTTGTTAGCCAGTCGATAGGCCCTGGATAGTTGCTATATGCAGCTTGAAACCACCACAACTTGGCTCTTTGCGAGCTGAACCTGATAAACAACTTGATTTGCAGCAAAACCCAAATTCACGGCAGTAAAACATGACATTTAGACATCCATAAAAGCTCAAAATATAACCCTATTTCCCATTCGTTACAACATGTATACATAATTCTAAATATACAACAAGTGTTACTATGAGGTTCTAGTTACATTGCAAAATGAATACATCCATAGGTTACAGCTTTACAAAAGAATGGGCACAAGTATACAAAAGGTATCAAAATGAACTTCAAGTCCTCAAATTAAATTTGTAGTGGTCCGTCATCCGCCACTTCTTTCCCGAGCCTTGAAAAATGTTAATAATAAAGGGATGAGCACAATGGCTCAGTAGGAGATGCCTAATACACACCTCTTGAAACCCCGTGAATCCAACAATGAATAGGGGTGAGAGAACGGGATCATGCCAATTTCGGGAGAAATACAACAGCAATAACAATATCAATAATTTGAATCACGAATGAAGCATGCCACACTATAGAATGCAATGTCATGTAATGTCTCTCCCCTATTCCTAAAGCAAATCCATTTCATCGTTCCAAAACCGTTAATGTAACCCGACCCATAACACCTCTATGGCATCACGAGAAGAGGGTTGGCTAGCAATCTCCGACCACATGGCACCTCCATGGAGTTATCTGGGCCTAGGTAGCTCAACCTTCCTCTAGATTACATTAACACCACGGACCACTAGGCGCCTCCTAGGCATCCGAGTTTTTCGCAGACTTTTCATAAAACTTTTTCCCAAAAATTTTAAATTTTTATATAAATTAAATTCTCCCATTTCTTGCCCAATGATATGCATGGACGTCTCGTGCTTTCCAATGCCATGTCAATAGAGAATTCTATAACTCACAAATCAACATGCTCCATATTTCCAATTCTAGCAATTTGAACATAATAGGTATGGAAAAATTACCACATAAGCATGCTTTCTCAAATAAATCATTTAATACACATAGGTACATGGTTCATCTACAACAATTAAGCCAACTTAAATAAATTTAACATAATTTAAGCATGTTAGACATCAATTCATGGAAGATTGACTCACAAAATGTTTAAGAAGTCATAGATTATGAGCCCCTACCTCAATTTGATGAAAAGCCCCAAATTTTTCCCAAATCTAAGCCCTACAATTCAAAATCCTAAGGTGCACCAAACGGAGCTTGGCTCGTATCAAATCGTAGATCTTGTCATGCTCTTCAATTTGCCGCAAACGGCATCAAAAACCTCTCAACGGTTTGAGAGAGATCAAGATTCAAAGCTTTTGTAAAGAAAGAAAAAGAAAAAGGGAGAATGAGAAAGAGAGAGACCCGCAGAGAGAGAGAGAGAGAGAGAGAGAATGTGAAGACATGAGGCCAAAAATTGGCCTTTTACCCTTTTTTTAAAATAAAATGGTGGGTCCCACCTTTTAACAAAATTTTCTTTTCTTTTTCTTTTTAATTTCAACCACAATTACATATATATATACATAATA